AAGAAGAAAGTTGTCAGGCTATCTTCTCCCTGGTCATACCGATGGAAAACACCCCCAGATGTGCTAATTCTACTTGATTGTAATGCGACATTAACAACATTTTGCAGATCTCAAAGAACAAATCTCCCACCAACTCTTTTCTCAGCCTGAAAAGTTAGCCAGGATCCTTTCTGAGTTTCTTTCTCTCCCATTATGCAGCTGCAGGATCCTCCCCTCTTCTCTGATCCTTCCCTAGGCAGCCTCTCTTCCCCTCATCCCAAAAGTCATTCTCACACATCATTACACTTCCTAAATAGATTATGGGAACTCTGGTGATATCACTGGATCTCAGGAAAGGACTCTGTAAGGTCCGGCCTCTCCTCCTCATTCAGGAAAGTACAGACTCTTGAAACTTGGCCTTTCAAAAGGAAGCTTTTATTGGAAAGGAGTGGTGGAAGGACGGAATCAAAGGAGGCTCTGAGGGCCCTCAGGCAACACAGTTAGAATAAAGGAAAGTGGAAACCCTCCCAACAGTCCAGTGGGGATTCAGCCAATCCGCAGGTGTGAAGATGTTATTGTACCTGCGGCTCTGAGAAAGTGATAAGGGAACTTTCCCAGGGTCCTCTTCCGACACATGGCCATCCCTCCCCTTACACTCCACAAAAGGTGAGAAAATGCCAGGCCGCTTAGGCACCAGGCTAAAGGTTATAAATCAATGGGCTGCAGGATACAAGATACATGGGAGAAGGAAAGGGGTAGAAGGTAAAATATAAAGTATAAATGTAATCCAGGGTCCCCTCCTTCCCCCGAATAATGGCAGATTCACGGAACTGACATGCTGCCCTCCTTAGAAAAAAGGAGAGTCCACCTGGAAAGACACAAGAAAACAAATGATACAATAGGTATCTACGATGGTTTGTTTGGATATTTAAGGTACTAGCAGCCTAGTAGTGTATTGAAAGTGGTTTTCCATTCGTCCCCTTCCCTTATTCTGATGGGGTAATATGCCTCGCGTAAGTCCAATTTAGAGAAGATCCTCCCCTTGGAGAGGTGTACCAACATGTCCTTCATGAGGGGGAGGGGATATATGTTCTCTACGCTCACCGTATTTAAATTTCTATACTCCACGCAAAGGCGCAAAGTGCAGTCCTTTTTCTAACGGAACAACACTGGGGCCGCAATTTTTGGTCGGGTAGGTTTGATAAATCCCCTCACCAGATTTTTGTTGATGAATGTTCTCAGTTCCTCAAGTTCCTGAGGGGACATGCAATACATTTTTGGCTTTGGAAGTTTGGTCCCTTGTAGAATTTAATGGCAGTGTGTGCCGCGGTTGGGGGCGGGGGGAAGTTCGTCAGAGCATTCCTCGCTGAAGACCTCGGCTAGGTCCCTGTACTCTTTAGGGATGCCCTGAGTTGGCATAGCCCGGCTGGGCATGGCCGTTTCTTTGCTCCCCCACTTTCCGGGTTTCTTCTCTCGCTCGTCTGTGAATGTCACATGCTTTTGGAATTTTATGGTCCCTTGTTTCCAGTTTACTTTAGGGTTGTTTCATGTGAGTCCCAGAACTAACGGCCATTCCATGCCAGGGGCTGCTATGAATGTCAGAGTCTCATTATGGTCCCCCATGCTTATCTGCACAGGCTCTGTGGCCAAAATGGCAGGTTCCTCCTTGCTACTGACCCATCAAACTGGCAGAAAGCGATGGATTTTTTAACTTTCTCAGATGGATCGCTAGTCTCCTTACTAGGGTTGGGCTAATTAGGCATCGGATGCACCCCGAATCCAGTAGCGCCAAGATTTTCTCCCCCTTCCTTCAGCTGGGGATGAACAGTCTTAGGGGTAGGGTGAGTGGTTCAATTGGGTCACTTACCAGTTGGTCATCTTCTGGATTGCTTTCGGGTGGACTCTGGTCCTCCCACTGGGGTGCCGGAGTTTCTTCCCCTGGGGTTGAGGAGAGTCAAAACTCCACGGCCTCTCAGCTTCTTAAGGCAGTCTCCTTTCCTTGGGGGGTTGAGTTTGTCAGCTTCCCTCTGGATGGCCACTCGGGCTTTCTGGTGGGAGTTTTTGAATGGCATTCTGCTGCTTCCTTTCCACACTTAAAGCAAGTTGATGGCCTCGGTGCTAGGTGGATTTTGGCTTGAATGGCTCTCTTTTCCCCTGGGGTGGGGATCTTCTTCTGACCCTTCCTGCTTGGTATTGGTTTCTGGCCATGTCGATCTCGGCTTCCTCCGCCATGAGGTACCATTCATATAAGCGGTTAGGGGCCCCTCGGGCTAAGCAGGCGATGTACAAGTCGTCATTCAGTCTGTCTTTGAACCAGCTCACCAGGATGTCTTCCAGCCAGTCCACTCGGCATGCGAGGTCTCGGAACTCCTCGTTTATTCAGCTACTGGCCGGAGACCTTGCTTCATGATTCTGATGAGATCACGGGCTTTGCAATCCACTAGTGGGTCCTCGAACTGACATCACAGGGCCATCATGAAACAGTCAAAGTTTCACAGCTCAAGGGCATCAGTGTTGAGGAGCGTTACCATCCACTGAGCAGCTGCCCCTTCTAAGGCCATGGTCACTATTTGAACTTATGCCCCTTGGGTGGGGAAGTTCTGGCTGTATTCCTGCATGTATGTGAGGACTTATTTATTTATGTATTTATGTGTTTATGTGTTTATGTGTTTATGTGTTTATTTGTTTATTTGTTTATTTGTTTATTTGTTTATTTATTTAATTTATATACCGCCCTTCTCCCAGAAGGACTCAGGGTGGTGTACAGCCAGAATAAAGCACACAGATATAAAATTTAAAAACAATTTAAGAAATATTAAATAGTTTGGCCCATATCTAATTAAAATAAAATTACCCATTTTAGACATTTAAAATTAAGTTAATGATTAAAAAATTTAAAAGAATTAGGCCAGCCCGGCTTGTTGGAATAAAAGCGTCTTGAGGGCCCGGCGGAAGGCGCGCAAGTTGGAATCTCCACATCTCGGGGGGCAATTCATTCCAGAGGGCAGGAGCCCCCACAGAGAAGGTTCTCCCCCTGGGGGTCGCCAGCCGACATTGCTTGGCCGATGGCACCCGGAGGAGCCCCTCTCTGTGGGAGCGAATTGGCCGGTGGGAGGCTATTGGTAGAAGAAGGCGGTCTTGTAAATACCCCGGTCTTAAGCCATGGAGTGCTCTGAAGGTGGTAACCAATACCTTGAATCGCACCCGGAGGACCACCGGAAGCCAGTGCAGCTCATGCAGGAGAGGTGTTACATGGGAGTGCCATGACACTCCCATAATCACCTGCGCAGACGCATTCTGGACCAGTTGGAGCCTCCGGATGCTCTTCAAGGGGAGCCCCATGTAGAGAGCATTACAGTAGTCCAGGTGGGAAGTGATGAGGGCATGAATAACCGTGCGTAGGGAGTCCCGATCCAGAAAGGGATGCAACTGGCGAATCAGGCGAACCTGATAAAAAGCCCTCCTGGCCACGGCCATCACATGTTCTTCTAAGGACAGCCGTGCATCCAGGAGGACACCTAAGTTGTGAGCCCTCTCTGTGGGGGCCAATGACTCGCCCCCAATAGTCAGAGAAGGCACCAACTGACTATATCGGGACGCTGGAAGCCACAGCCACTCAGTCTTGGATGGGTTGAGCTTGAGCCTGTTTCTCCCCATCCAGATCCGAATGGCCTCCAGACACTGGGACATCACGTCAAGGGCATCATTGGGGTGGTCCAGGGTGGAGATGTACAGCTGAGTGTCCTCAGTGTACTGGTGGAACAGCACCCCGAAACCACAGATGATCTCACCCAGCGGCTTCACATAAATGTTAAACAGAAGGGGCGAGAGGACCAATCCCTGAGGCACTCCACAAATGAGAGGCCTCGAGGTCGACCTCTGCCCCCCTGTCAACACAAACTGCGACCGGTCAGAGAGAAAGGAGGAGAACCACCGCAGCACGGTGCCTCCCATTCCTAACCCCTCTAACCGGCGCAGCATGATACCATGGTCGATGGTATCAAAAGCCGCTGAGAGATCTAATAGGACCAGGACAGAGGAAAAACCCCTATCCCGAGCCCTCCAGAGATCATCAACCAATGCGACCAATGCTGTTTCCGTGCTGTACCCAGGTCTGAAACCCGACTGGAACGGATCAAGATAGACCGTTTCATCCAGGTACTGGGGAAACTGTCGCACCACCATATTCTCAACAACCTTCACCACAAAGTGGAGGTTGGAGACTGGACAATAATTCGCTAAAACAGCCGGGTCCAGGGAGGGCTTCTTGAGGAGGGGCCTCACCACCGCCTCTTTCAAGGTGGCGGGAAAGCAACCCTCACTCAAAGAAGCATTGATAATCCTCTGGAGTCAGCCTTGTGTAACCTCCCGGAGGCCAGCACCAACCAGGACGGACACGAGTCCAATAAACATGTGGCCACGCTAAGTCTACCCAGAATCCTGTCCACGTCTTCGGGAGTCACCGGGTCAAACTCCTCCCGGATAACACTCTCAAGACCTTCCTCCATCACCCTGTCTGAACCTACCCCATCAGAGTCCAAGCCTTCCCGAATTTGAGCGATTTTGTCATGCAGATACTGTACAAAATCCTCAGCTCTACCCTCCAAGGGGTCTTCCCGTGCTCCCAGATGGAGCCTGGGGGCCGCCAAAACCTCTAATCAGCTTGCCTTCTGGACTCTGGATCAGCCGCCACAGAAGGTAAGCAGCCTGAACAAAGAGGTGGTGGTGGGGGAGGAAGGTGGCTAGGGCCAGGGCCGCTAAAAAAGGGGAAATGGGGGCGACAAGCAAAGGGAGGGCAAGGAGAGATAGGTGGAAATTCCCTACCTTTCCTACCTTTTCCTGTGGGTGTGGCTAAGTGGGGGAGTCATGTGACTGAGTGGGTGTGGGCATGAGTGACATCAAGTTGGCCACGCCCACTCAGTCACATGCCGCCACACCTAGCCACACCCACCGAACCAGTAGCGAAAATTTTTGAAACCCACCACTGGACAGAATAAAGATGAAATTCCATGATGCTAATAACAAATTCAACCATACAGGAATTTATTTAAGAAAGAATACAGCATTTTCAAATGATCAGTGCAAAATATTAAAATGCCATGCTATCTATTTTTTGGAACCATTATTCCCTGAGTAGCTGAATTGGCCAGATCTGTTGAGATGGTTCCCCTCCTTCTCCTCTGGATTCCTCCTCCAAAGGATCTAAGATTAATGGATCAATATTGGGACCCCCATACCTGCCACGGCTGCAGCCTTGGAGACCCCGAAGTCTTTTCTCCCTCCTTCCTTCTCCTCCTCCACCTGGAGGAATAGGCGGCATTCAAGGCCTGGGCCAGAGTCTGAATGAGGCTGTAATATTGATAGTAATTTGGGAACTTTCTACTGTTCTCTTTCTCCTGGGTCTCCAGTGGGGCTTTCTGGGTGCATCTTCTGCGGCCTTTGACAGAAAAGACGTTCTTTGAAAGAGAACAGAGAAAATAAGGATCTTGAAACTTTTCTTCCACAAAGAAATGGGGGTCAAAGGCAGAATCCCTTGGCCTTTTTTTTGTCAGAAAACCAAACTTCCAAATACTATGGATGTATTTGAGAAGTCTGCGCTTGTTCATTTCATACCCTTCGAAACTTGTGAGGATCCAGACTTTTTCTTCAATGGGTCCTGGCAAATGCATAAGTGCTAAATGTAAAGGAAGAATTCTTCCCCAAATGGAATCATGTTCTATGAAGTGAACAAAGACGTTGACTTGTCTCCATTTAGAGAGGGAATCCCTGAGGGCTGCTGTATATCCAGTTGTTGACAATCTTTGTGATATAACAGCACAAATTCCATTCTTGACAAGCATAGGAGGGAAAGTCCTCATGAAATTCTCTCCCTTCTCTGTGTCTGAAGCAAAGAGACCAATCAGGGTCCATCTGAAATGGAGGAGCAGTTGGACAATTACTGGGTACAGGATCCCTTCTTTGGGATTCATCCGGTAGAAAAAAGGGAATTGACTTTTATCACTCAGAGCTTCTGAAGCAGTTTCCAGATTGATCTAAAAAAGCAATGAAGAATGCTATGTTATATTTGGGATCAAATCCAATCCAAAATATTAGATTTTAATAAATCCAACCTGGTTCTCATGAATGTATTAGAATAGTTTGTTAATCAGGCATAGTTTAAAATATTAAAGACAGAATATTGGCAAGATTGTATAATAAAAGTGGAAAATAATAAACAAATTAAAAAACTATAAATAATGTAATTCATACTACTCTATCACCCCTACAATTTGTTGCAACTAGATTAACATGTGTAAATGCCAATTGGAGTATTCTATTCCAATAAAGGGCCTATTATAATTTTTGAGGATTGCTGCAACTTTTTTTGCTTCTCTATCCCAGATTCTTTGTGGAGGAATCTTTTTAGCTTCTTCTCCAGTTGTACAAGAAACAGGCAGACCTCAAAGCCTAATAAGATTTGTCAGTTGCATAATCCAAGATTGTTCTTTAATTGAAGTTTTCTCTGTTCCAACAGCCACAATTTTCAGAGTCTGTCAGTTTCCATAGATTAAATTTTATGCCAACAATACCCATATTTTCTGAATTTAGACAAAGCAGAAATTGTGTAAATTCCCAAATCAGCCCTGAGGGCAGCAGCTGGAGTCCTTTTACCCACCCCAAGATCCTCCTCAGAGGCTGAGATTGGGTTGGTTCTACTGGTGGTTTCTCTCTGAAGCCCCAAACATCAGATTGATGTAAGAACATGGGGGAAAACTGGGCCTCCGATACTTTAATAATTGGGGCTGAGGAAGCTGGAGAGCTGTGAGGTTTTCATTTAAGCACCACTTTCACTCCTGCCCTTTCTCTAACTGAGCTCCTTGGATGGTGAGGGAGCCAAGATTCAGGCTCAGAGAAAACAACCCCAGGTAAGGAAAGGTGTTACTTGCTCTAATGGCTGACCATCTATGGCTATGATGTCATTTCCCAAAGACCATAACTTTTGAACTTGCTTATAAATTATCAGATAATTATTAAGACAAAACAATTCAAGTCTTCTTCACAGGGTATACAATCCAATGTGTAAGTAGGATAATATAACATAAATCAGTGTGTTCCAATAGGAATTTAGCATGATAAACATGTGTACCTATAATAGAACTTATAACAAAATAAAGGGACCTTGGAGGTTTTCTAGTCCAACCCCCTCAAGCAGGAGCCCCTATACACATATAGACTGGGTGAAACCAGGCTTAATAGCAGTAACTGTGAGAGGGATTTATTAATTTATTTATTTATTAATTTTATTTCTATACCGCCCTTCTCCCGAAGGACTCAGGGCGGTGTACAGCCTGATTAAAAGCACAAAGACAGACAAAATTTAAAAATAATTAAAATTATTAAATGATAGGCTCAATTTAAAACCCCAAATTTAAAATCTCATTTTTAAAAACCAATTAAAATCTTTACCTTGATAGCCCAGCCTGGCGGAACAACAAGGTTTTGAGGGCACAGCGAAATACCCAGAGGTCGGAGATCTTACGCATTTCCAGGGGCAGTTCATTCCAAAGGGCAGGGGCTCCCACAGAGAAGGCCCTCCCCCTGGGTGTCGCCTGCCGACATAATTTGGCCGATGGCACCCTGAGGAGACCCTCTCTGTGGGAGTGGACTGGCCGGTGGGAGGCTACTGGTGGCAGAAGACGGTCTCGAAGGTATCCAGGTCCAATGCCATGGAGCGCTTTAAAGGTGGTAACCAACACCTTGAATTGCAGCCGGAAGACCACCGGGAGCCAGTGCAGCTCGCGCAGGTGTCACCTGGGCACAACGAGTTGCGCCCATAACCACCCGCGCGGCCGCATTCTGGACCTCCGGGTGTTTTTGAAGGGGAGCCCCATGTAGAGAGCATTGCAGTAGTCCAGTCGGGAGGTGACAAGGGCGTGAGTGACTGTGCGCAAGGTGTCGTGATCCAGAAAGGGCTGCAACTGGCAGATCAGGCGAACCTGATAAAAAGCCCCCCTGGCCACGGCCGTCATATGTTTTTCTAAAGACAGCTGTGCATCCAGGAGGACACCCAGATTGTGAACCCTCTCTGTGGAGGGTAAAAACTCACCCCCAATAGTCAGCGATGGCACCAGCTGACTATATCGCGGCGCCGGGAACCACAGCCACTCAGTCTTGGAGGGGTTGAGTCTGAGCCTATTTCTCCCCATCCAGACCCGCACGGCCTCCAGGCAGTGAGACATCACATCAAGGGCATCGTTGGGGTGGTCTGGGGTGGAGATGTACAGCTGAGTATCATCAGCGTACAGATGGACTCTCAGCCCAAAACCACGGATGATCTCACCCAGCGGCTTCACATAAATGTTGAACAGAAGAGGCAAGAGGCCCGACCCCTGCGGCACTCCCCATGAAAAGCACCTCGAAGTCGACTTCTGCCCCCCTGTCAACATGAACTGCGAGCAGTCAGAGAGGAAGGAGGAAAACCACCGCAAAACGGTGCCCCCTATTCCTAACCCCCTCAACCGCTGCAGCATGATAACATGGTCGATGGTATCAAAAGCCGCTGAGAGATCTAACAGGACCAGGACAGAGGAAAAACCCCTATCCCGAGCCCTCCAGAGATCCTCCACCAACGCGACCAATGCCGTTTCAGTGCTGTACCCCTGCCTGAAGCCTGACTGGTACAGGTCCAGATAGATAGCTTCATCCAGGTGCCGGGGAAGTTGTCGTGCCACCACGCTCTCAACAACCTTCACCACAAAACAAAGTCTTAGTGGACAACCAATTAAATATGAGTCAAGAGTGTGCAGTGTAGCCAAAAAAGCCAATGAAATCCTAAACTGCATTATCAGATGGATACAATCAAGATCAAGAAAGGTACTAATAACACTCTATAAAGCCTTAGTAAGACCATACCTAGAATACTGCATCCAGTTTTAGTCACCACACTATAAAAAAGATGTTGAGACTCTAAAAAAAGTGCAGAGAAGAGCAACCAGGATGATGAGGGGACTGGAGACTAAAACATATGAAAAAGGTTGCAGGAACTGGGCATGGCTGGTCTAGTGAAGAGAAGGACCAGGGGAGACATGATAGCATCTTGCCTTCAGAAGTTGTGGGAGCTTCATCACTGGAAGCTTTCAAGCAGAGGCTGGACCGTCATCTGTCAGAAACGGTGTAGGGTCTGCTTGGACTAGATGACCTACAAGGTCCCTTCCAACTCTGTTAATCTGTATCTATCTATACTGTCAGATGTAAATGCCTTATTCTCCAATGTGTAAATAATGTATATATGGAACATCAGAGGTTAACTTATTCTTTGGACTTTAATGTATTCATAACTTACCACTCCCATTCCTAGCTCCACCCCTTGTATATATAAGGAGCCACCCTCACCATTCTCGTCGCTTCTACCTTGAATATTCAGTGAATATAGAATGCCTATCATAATTAAAAAGAAATATATTTAAAGCTCTAACTCCTATTATCTTTATTGAGTCTGATCCTGAAAATATTGCAACAAGCTGGTAGCAGAGGATGGTTAATTGACTCAATAAGTAATTAAAAATGTCCAAGAAAGATAGGCCCAACACCAGGGCCTACAGCAAAGAAATAGAAACTGATCAAGAGATGATCAACGAATCCACCAATGCGACTTCGAGAGAATCCGAAGAATACACCACTGAAGAAGAAGAACTAATGAGTGAAAATAATGACCAGAAAGAAATCGAAATAGAAAATAACGAACTCAGGTCAGAGATATTAAAGATACTAAAAAGCCAAAAGAATGATGAAAGTCTCATCGCGGACCTCCAGGAGATGCTGAAGAACAGCGGAGCAGCGAGAGAGAAAAACGTCATTAAAGAAAAACCCAAAGATCAAAAAACCGTAAGTGAGATGACTACTGAGAAAATAGTTGTTAAAAAGAAAAGATGTGATCCCGCGCGAAATTTTGAATGGCAGCCATCTTGGTTTCAACGAACTTCAAAAGAGAATGGAGCAGAGCCAATCAAAACGCTCAGTTCAAAATTTCTGGCGCGAAAAACACTATCAGACGAAGAAAGTGAGAAAGAAGTCTCAAACTCTTCAGATGATCCAAAATCAGAAAGTGAAGACGATTTAACAAAATCTCAAGTAAAATCAGCAATGAAAACGCTTTTTGCTGCTTTTGGGCCAAGACTGAAAATTACCAAGACATCTACGAAGAAGCAAGAAATCAAACCGGCGACTCAAGACCTGCACGCTCCCATCCTGACTTCGAAAGCGACGACGCCCGAGCCCAGAGAGCCATGCCGATTTCGCCCTACACCACAGACAAGATCGAATACCAACGCACACAAAAAGAAGAAAAGAACCGTCGCCACCACCAGAACCCCAAAAACCGAGCCAGAGACCGACTCATCTGAGGAGGAGCGGATCGAGAGAGCTGAAAGGGAGAGAACCTTCCACGACGCCACCAAAGAAGAAATGAGCAACGCGCATGTGCGAAACTACGTAGACGACCCAGAAGGACTTGAACTGGCCAGAGAACCGCGCAGACTCATTGCAAGCATCCCAATGCCGTTCTGTAATTTCCTGCACTTGAGAGATCACGGACTGCCCCAGGTTGTAAGTAATGGACAGAATAATGTAGGTAACTTACCCAGTGACTTCCCAAAACTTAGAATTGATGGCATTAATTTACAAGAGTGGTATCAACAGCTTCAGGTTATTTTCATGAAAGAAAATTTACTATTCTTTATAACTAGCCCTCCAAGAAGACCTTGGACTTTAAAAATAGATTGTTTACATCATAGAGCATTTTTCATAATAATATCTAGCGTGTCTCCTGCAATGTATCATAGCATCAAACCAAACCTAACTGTATCAGAAATAATTCAATGCATGTTTAATCTATTTCACAGCGATAGCGTAGCTACAACCACAAGAATGTCTAAGGATTTCTTTTCCTCTAGAGTAAAACCAGGGATTTCTATAAGTGAGCATTTGATAAATCTAAACAAAATAAGAGCTGAGCTACAATTGAGGGGGGAAGTGATTTCAGATCAAACAATGA